GTGTGGTGAGATGTGCAGAGAAAAGGAAACACTGAGGATTTTCCCCGGAATTATGAAATAGGTGGTGCAGGGGCAGTGAAGGATTTAATGCAGCTCTTCTGGACAAACTCTAATTGCCACCAACCTACATTTTCCTACATGGGTCTGGTAAGAAGGTAGGGGGAAGAAGATACTAATAGAATTCACCTGTGAGTAATTATGAACAGGATTCCCTGAGAGTCATCCTGCGGTGTATAAAATGAACCATCTGAGAAACAGGAGGAGGAATGAATCTCATTACCAGTAAAAGCCAGCAGTGGAGTGTACCCTGTGGACCCCAAATCCTGCCCAGTGAACCGCCTGGATCCAGAAGACAGCTAGACCACCGGAGGAGCAGCAGCAGAACCAGAAGAGAGAGCACGGAGCAGAAGGATGCACTGGCCAACTCAGAGAGTAAGTAGAGATTAGCGCTTCTGCACAGGAGGCTGGCTTATGGCATGGGGTGACCTTCGCCACTGAATTAGGGAAGTGGGACTTGCTGGCCCATGGAAGTGGAACTCAATGCCTTTAGAATGAGACTGGCTGGAGTGGGTGCCACTGGGCACTTAAGTCAGGGAACTGAGCTTGCTGACCCTTGGAGCGTGAGCTGAATGCCTTCCGGTTGAGGCTTCCAGGGGAGCGGTCTGCCACGTTGGGCACTTGACAGCACATCGGAAAGACCTCTGAAACATGGCCTGATAACCAACTCAGCCCTGAGCAGTTCTCACTGGCATTCCAACTTCACTTCCTGAATAAACCTTTTAATCATGAGTTTTGTCTGTGAGTTCGAGGCAACCACTGCAAGGGGTTCGAACCCAGAGAAGTCAAATAGAGACCATTAGTTCAGACAACCCAGGGGGGATCACTATTTTACAGAAAAGGCATAGAAAAGCAACAGCCTACGTTACAGGACACGAGTCAAGGATGTGCCAAAAGGCCTACACAGCTCAAAAATAAGGGCACCCACCACTGTGTGAATTCCTCCTTGGAAGTGACCGTGGTGACCAAATTCTCACATGTTCCATGTCCCTTTCTATTCATTTGAACTGGGTGTTTTAAGAGTGTTCTGACAAGTCTGAGCTTTATGATCTACCAGGTGAACCAGCCATCTCAGTTTCTAGGTACAGTCAGGAGAACGCATCATCTTACTTTCTATGTACCGTATAGACTCAAGTATAAGCTGACCCGAATATCAGCCAAGAAATCTAATTTTACCACAAAAACTGCATTAAAAAATGTGCTGAATAACTCTATGGGGACAACACTGAGGACACAGTTTGGTAATTGCACCCAATGCAAAACACTAAAGGCGTGCAACTGAGGCAAAACACTAAAGGCGTGCAACAGCACAGCAAGGGGAACAGAGCAAGCAAGTCCCCAGGGAATACCAAAAATAGACTTTGGGCCCAGGGTGTGGCACCCAATTAAATTCCACCAGCAAACAAACAGACCTTGGACTATTTACAGGCTTTTCTATTTTCAGGTTTCTTTTGTTGTTGTTGTTTTCTTTTGTTGCTTTGTTTTGCTCTGTCTTGTTTTTGTGTGCATATTATTATCTCTGCAGGTCTATCTAGATAAAATAGACTGGATAAACAACGTGGACAAGAAAATAAGGGAACCAACGGCTCTGGGGAGACATGGGAGAGGGGGAGGTGGGGTAAAGGAAGTGGTGTTAACAAACCCAGGCATAAGGGAACAAGTGATCCAATATCAGTGGTAAGGAGGGTTTAAGAGGCCTGGTAGGGCTTGATCAAGGGCAATGTAACATCTGTGAGGAATTACTGATCCCAAATGAAGGCTGAACATGATAGTGTGACAAGAGGAAAGTAAAAGGAAATAAAGGAAAGAACTAGGAGGCAAAGGACATTTATAGAGGTCCAAATACAGGCATGTACATATGTAAATATATTTATATATGAGGATGGGGAAATAGATCTATGTGCATATATTTATAGGTTTAGGATTTAGGTAGCAGATGGGCATTGGGCCTCTTCACTCAAGTACTCCCTCAATGCAAGAACACTTTGTTCTATTAAACTGGCATTCCATGATGCTCACCTTTGAAGACAAAGTGGGTGCATAAGCAAATGTGAAGAAGAAAGCTGATGGTGCAGGGCTATCAAAAGATATAGCATCTGGGGTCTTAAAGGCTTGAAGATAAACAAGCAGCCATCTAGCTGAGATGCAAGAAAGCCCACATGGAAGAAGCACACCAGCCTGTGTGATCATGAGGTGTCAAAGGGATCAGGTATCAGGCATCAAAGAACAACAAATCATATCATTGTGAATGAGGAAGAGTGCGGAGTGAGACACAAAGCCCATCTATAGGCAATTGGACATCCCCTTACAGAAGGGTTGTGGGAAGGAGACAAGCCAGTCAGGGGGCAGTATAGCACCAATGAAACATACAACTTTCCTCCAGTTCTTTAATGCTTCCTCCCTTCCCCTTCACTATCACAATCCAACTTCTACCTTACAAATCCAGCTAGACCAGAGCATGTACACAGGTACAGATAAGAACTGGAAACAGAGAATCCAGGACAGATAAACCCCTCAGGCCCAATAATGAGAGTAGCGATACCAGGAGGGGAAGGGGAAGGTGGGGCAGAAAGGGGGAATTGATCACAAGGATCTACATATAACCCCCTCGCTGGGAGACAGACAATAGAAAAGTGGGTGAAGGGAGACTTCGGATAGTGTAAAACATCACAAAATAATAATAATTTATAATCTATCGAGGGGTCACGAGGGTACAGGGAGGGAGGGAAACAAAATCAGGAGCTGATACCAAGAGCTCGAGCAGAAAGCAAATGTTTTGAGAATGGGTGAAGGCGACAAATGTGCAAATGTGCTTGACACACTGGAGGTACATACAGATTGTGGTAAGAGTTGTACAAGCCCCTAACAAAATGATTTTTTTTTTTAAAAAAAGAGCTATAAAACTTGGTTTATACACGGGTAGATACGGTCCATTTCTGAGCGGTTGCCTGAAGTACTGTGGGTTAACAGTTACGTTCATCGAGACTGGTTACCCAACCTTTCCAAAACAAGATCAACCCTTTCTATTTCACCTAACGTGGCCTATGCTGTCATCCTGGAGTCCACCACCCCTGGAACAGAGCTAGCCCAGACCAGTTTCTGTGGTGTCAATCCAGACTCCTGGTGTGCCGGTGAAGGACTGTGCTCCATAGAGTTTTCAATGACAGTGCCCTTTGGGAACCAAATCAGTCTAGTCTTCATCCATGACACACATGCAGGTGGACATGAGCTGCCACCCTTCCAGTGAGCAGCTGAATGCCTAACCATTTGTCCTACGGAGAAACTCCTTTGTAGCAAGACTTTCTCAGAGCCACTTCGTTAGGGCTCCCTTGCCCAACTCCATTAGTCAGAATTAGTAGCTCTAGCCTTTGCCCGTTAAAAAATGCTGCTTATTTATTTACTTGAGTGCTTTTCTATCTCAATGCGACAAATTCCTACAGGGCGAGTATTTTCTCGTTCATTTTTATATACCCACCAACTAGAACAGAGTAAATATTTGAGTGGCTATAAAACTAGAGCTTTGCTTGAATTTGATATTAGGAGAAGACTGGCTAGATATTCCACTGAGAAACCATAAAGGGATAGAATGACACTGTAAGACGAGGGTAGCAAGTAGCTGGCATTCGTGCCGTGCCCCACCCTTGCCCACGGTAGACGTTACTAATCAATCATACGATTCTTTTGTGTTCAGTGCCATTTGGCCTTAAAAAAACCAATCCTTCCATTTTCCAGGGAGCCAAATGAACAGTCGAACATTAGATAAAGTTTTCTTTGCACCCCACGAATCAGAAATGAAAACATTCTGCTGACTGTGTTAAAACTTATCATTAAGCAGTGTTTGAGACGGAATGCTCCATTTCTACAGCAGCTCTCCCTGGAAAAGATGCTTTTGAAAAGACGGGGTTCTATTTGCATGACCTCTTGAGTGTATCGATAGGAAGTGCACAGACTCCCTACACCGAGCAGAGTAACGTGCATGATTTTGGGATTCTTTACTTACTACTTAGCTAATTAAAAGTTCCCTGGGTGGCGTAACTGGTTACGTGCTGGGCCACAAGCCCAAAGGCTGGTGGTTTTGAACCCAACCCAGAGGCACCTCAGAAGACAGGCCTCCTATGTGTTTCCAACAGGTTATATAGCCTTGCAAACTTTCTGCTCTGCCCACACGGTCCGTGTGCCCTACGGGAGTAAGTCCGGTAAAGACATACTTGTTGAAGTTTACGAGGTATAGAAAAGCAGTCCGTGGCGCCGGTCCATTCCAGTGGATGGTATAGCCCTTCTCCAGCATGAGTACCGGCTGGTACTGGGGGAAGACAGCCTTCTGGTTAATGCCGCGGAGCACCATCGGATGGGATGGGTATTCATCGCGTGCGATGGTCATAGTTAGATTCTGAGCACTCCGTGTTTGCACATAGACCTTCAAAACACAACGGAGACATCAAGGGAAGGAATGTTTAGATCAACAAGCCCTTCCAGAACAAAGTTGAATGTCATTACTTTGCAAAGGGATTCTGTGGTCTACGCCAGACTAAACCAACAGCAGCCAAATTCACACTAGGAGACAGCTGGAATGCAGCCTGACCGGTCTGAATCGTGAAAACAGATCATGTGCCCTGCTTGCCAAGCTCTGCAAACGCTCCCCCACCACACAAAGGGCCAGCCTACTCATCAGAATATCGAAACCGCTGTGGTTTATACAGTCAAAGCCATCACACAGCCTGAAGAGCACACACACACACACACACACACACAACATTAGTAAACGAACACGAACACCGATACCCTCTAGCCAAATCCAAAAGACCTTCTGCTAAACCAGGAAACGAAGTGTTTACACATCCCGGGGCTTTGACTTTCCATTTTCCAGGACCTGTATCAGCCAAAGTCATTTCTTACCCATCCAAAACAGTAAAAATAAAAGCTCGGCAAAAACTGGAAAAAAGGAAACTGAGATCGTTTTGAAAGTCCTGAATTCACTCCAGTGACGTTTGACCTGCTCGCCATTCGGAAAAAGAAAGCAAACCCTTCTCAAACACGTCCAAAGACAAGCCTCCAAACACGTTTCCTAAAACACTCCAGTACCCTAGGACCAAATTCCCCAGGGGAATGAAGACACGGCTCGCAGAATGCTGACCTTAGGTCACAAGAGAGCGAACCCTTAGCACCCCATCCACAAGGAATTCTCCAGCTGCTCTTTTCTGGGTCCTGTCGAGTCAATTCCTACTTGACAAGGGTGACTCTATGGGACAAGAGGAGAATCAACTCAGAAGGGTGTTTTGGGGGGTTTCTTTGCCGTTGTAATCGGCACAGAAACAGGTCTCAAAACCTTTCTCTCAGAGTGGCTCTGTGGGTTTGAACCACCGACCTTTCATTAGCAGCCAGGAGCTTAGCCACCAACTCACCAAGGCTCCTCTCAACAAATGACCACAGATCTAGGCTTCCAGCCCAAACTCCATATTCTCAGGAGTGAATTTATGACGTGAAGTCATGTCTGAGTTCTTATCTATAGTCCCTGCCATTCCCAGAGCCCCCTGGGAAATAGTAGCCAGCTGAAGTATTTCGTTCTTCATCAATCAATGAAAATAGAATCACTACTGTACCCTGTGACACAGAAGGATCAGGTCTACATTCTTAAGAAACACTGAAAATGCAAAGGATTGAGTAATTTACTGAGAAAATGTTGAATGAATGAAAAAAATAGCTATCATTTATAGTAACACTTGTAATTTCTAAACAGCCATCAGGAGCCCTGGTGGCATAGTAGTTAGGCATTGTAATGTCTGTATCATCCAGGAACTCCGAAGCACATAGCCGAATGAAAAAATAAAAAAGAACTACCCCACCCCCGGTCCATTCCACCTTAAACTGACCTGTAAGCTAGCGTACAACTGCCCCTGGGGCTTCAAGAGTGTAAATCTTTATGACAGTCGGCTGCATCATCTTTCTCCTTTGGAGTGGCTACTGGATTTAAACTGCTGGCCTTCTGGTCGGCAGGCCGATGATTAACCCGCTATGCCATCAGGCCCCCATACATGCTCCCTCCCAAGTGACCCTTCCCTTACCGGGTGGCACTACGAGTCGGCATCAGTTGGATGGCAGTGGGTTTGGTTTGCGGTAGGCTACCAGCAAGTTAATGAGTATATAGTAGTCTTTATGGTTCAAAGGGCGCTGCTCAACTTGTATCACCTCTTCCTTATTTTTGCAGACATTATATTTTAATATAAACAGAAGAGTTTGTCTTCATTCAGTCCTTGATTCCCCTCCTTTCCAGTTCCTAGCCTGGTCCCTGCTTTCTGGTTACCTCCTACCTAGCCATCTCCATTTCCAGGTGACTTATTGCTACTTGTCAGCCTCAGAAGCCAAACTCCCCAATTTCACAGAGCTAATGACCCTGAAAGCAAAGAACAGACGGTGCTTCTTTGGGGCCCAGTTACAGTGTGGCAAGAACACCTTGGCTCGAGCATCAGGAAATACAAGTTCTTGACCCAACTTTATGTAGCCAAGAGTAAACCATCCTTACTCTGGGTCCCCCTTTTCCATGTATCACATTAGTGTAGGTTAGGGAGGGAGGGAGGAATTGTGCTTTAAACAAAACTCTATGAATTCATGACCTCATCGATTTTTCTCTTTTTAAGAAAAAGCAGTCACATGGACAGCTGGCAAGGTGTCATCACAGGAACAGTAGGAAAGCAGGTAACATAGTATGTTCTGAACTGACCTGGGCATATGTCCCACTGCAAATCACAGCATTCCACTTGGTAGCATTAACACAGCTTGGGTGGCGGATCAGGTAGTTGTCCATTCTTCCCACGTAAGCATCCTTGTAGCCTGTCACGGAGCCATCGATGTCATGGAATATGGAGTTCTTGTCGCCATCGAGCTCACAGTCTTCAAACCAGGGACCAGGCTTTCCAAAGAAGACATTCAGAGAGACCTGGCAGCAGGGAACAGCAAGGACATCGCAGCATGAGGGCTCCTGCCAACTGCAAATCACACCTGCAAGGATCCAACTGCACACCCCTCACCTCTGCTGGATGGGAAAGCAATCCTACGTGAGAGGAGGAAGTTGCCAACTACGAACCCGTTTCTTATCGATTAATGGCCTGTCTGGGGAGTGGCAGGGGTGGGGGTGTGGGGGTGGGGAACTGCTAAGCTTGTAGAACTGAAGCAACAAACGTGAGGCTTGGTTTCCCTCTCCTCCCGTTTAGAAACTATTACCTGTTCTCCAGGCAAAACTCATCTGTGCTAACAGAAACCAGAACAGTTCAGTGTAAAGAGATGTGTGTTGTAATCCACACACTGCAAATCTTTGCATTTGTCTTTAGTAACATCTCTCGGGATCGGAAAATCTATTACAAGTTCCATCCTCAAAGCTAGCTAACCATTCCTTTTTACTCTAAAAATTTTAGTTATTTGTTCATGTGACTTCCCTTTACCAAAAAAGGAGTACAGTTCAAATAAAAAACACTTAAGCATGGTGAAATAGTTAAGATTTGTTCTGCCAACCCACCCAATAAACACATGTGGGGTTAATTGAAGGACAGAGGGATAAATGACTTGGTGAGCCTTGCCCTTGGAGTTCTTGGGTCTCTTGCTTTCTGATGGTGGGACCGGGGTGCAGCTGCCTTAGCCAGTTCCCTGCTTCAGCTGGCAAGGCTCACTTCCTGCAAGACATCCCTGAGGAGAAGCCTAGTTTCCCTAGACTAACACACATGGGATTGCTGGATTGCTTCAAAATTCACTAGCACCTGCTAAAGGGTATACATGACTGTCTCTCTCCTCAACACAAAGTGAACACAAAGTGAACACAAAATCATTTTATTGTCAAGTAGAGTTAAAAGTCCTCATTTAATTCATTGTTATGCAGAAGGGTTTGCATTGGGAAATCTGCAGCCAAAGACCCGTAGAGAGGGTTAAAACACAAACACTGAGGACCAAGGTGTGCCTGATACAAGTCATTAAGTATACAAGTATTCTTAATCACCTTATCTGCATGCAAAAGCTGAGTAAGGGGAAAGGAAAACAGGGAGAGAAAAAAACCAGATGCATGCATATGCATGTCCCTTATTCTGGACCCGTAATTGGGAGGAATCAGTCACTATAGAAGGTGATTGGTAATATTGATGGTCAGTGAAAAACCCAGTAGGCTCTCAGTGACATGGTTTGGCACCATGGCTGCAACAATGGGCTCACAGAGCAACACCTGACTGGTACAGGACCAGTTCATGTTTCTTTGTTCTACACACAAGGTCCCTATGAGTTGGACCCAACTCAATGCACTAAACAAGATTTAACACCTCACACAAAGATACAGGTAGAGTCTAGTTTCTTATTGGCATCAAATACAACGATATACTTACATGGGGGCTGAATTTCACAAGGGAGATGTTATTCCTCGGAGTCATCTGCCAGGAATTCTTCATGAGGAAGCCAATCGCACTGCTGTACCTATCTGCGGTTGGCACGTATCTTTTGAAAGTGCTCCTGGTGAGATGAATGGGTCCATCATATATCTGGAAGCCTCGGATGGGAAATGTCCTGTCAAAATGCAAGACTGTATTTCATGCACACGGTCTTCACCCCTTAGCAGCACTTCATATTCTTTCTTATTCACGAGAGAGACTGTCGCACTGTCGAATAGCCTCTAAACACAAAGGATCATTCAGTGCAGTAGATACAGTGATAACCAAGACGAAGTAAGATTCCCTACCCTAACGAAACAGACACTAGAGGAAAGCACTTTCAGACAACAGCCGTGCTGGGACGACAGGAAGACACAGTGAAATAATGATCCGAGGAAGGAAGAGATGCTATTTGCGGCCAAATGGAAGATGGACAGATGACTTCCATGCTGAGCCCGAGAGTGAGGAGGAGGTAGGGCAGGTAGATTCTAAGCAGCGGGCACGCCTCACAAGGGAAACACAGAGGTAGCCACCAGCTTGAGGGAAGGCCACCGCAGCCGGAGCGGCGGGGTGAGTGGCCAGAGGCCACAGCATAGAGAGTTGGAGGCCATGAAGAAGAATGTGTCTATATGAGATGAGAAATCGCTGAGGGTTTTGAGAGAGTTAAGATCTGACTTTTTTTTTTAAAAGAAGCCTCTCTGACTGCGATGGGGAAGACAGATTATATAAGGGGGTTTCAAAAAGTCCATAGGGGGAAAAAGAGAATTAAAAATAATTTTTTCCCCATGAACTTCTGGAAGCCCCACTGAAGGGGATGCAGTCGGTCAAGAGATGTGTTACAAGGTGCAGCAGTAGCCTGGGTGAGGGCTACCTGTGGGCTGAATAACGATGGGAGCTGTGGAGGTGGAGAAAGAAGAGAGATCGGTGCAGGGAAAGAGAGAAAGAAAGATTCACTGACAAATCGGCTGGTAGGGTTATTTGGACAGTTTTTGTTATTGTTGCGTGTGTTGGTTTGTTTTTGAACTTACACAGCTGGGCAGGATGTGGTACAATTTACAGAACTGTAGAAAATAACACCCCGTGGTTTCTTACTGGATTTAATACACGAGAATTGGCAACTACTTGGCAACGGCATGCGCATAATTAAACCATGTTGCTTCTTGAAATCACTCAAGTAAGGACCTTTCCCATGGTATCTCAAGGCCCCAAATCTCTAGCAACGAGAACAAGAGACCTACCTGTGCTTATGCACCAAAAGCACGCTGGCCAGCCCCATAAATAAACATAAAAGTGAGCTACTGAAAAGCACAGGAGGCCTTAAGGCTCGCTTTGTCAAAGAGGCTAGGTAGGTCACGAAATTCATCATATTCATTTTTATCCTTTTTGTTCAAACAGACTCCTCAGCCATAAGCATGTAGAAGCAAATCATAAACCACCAGTCATAATTAATGTGTGTGAAACGCTACTACATAAATATACTAGATGTCATAGGCTTACCTTCTAATCAAAATTTAAAATCGTTCGGAAGAGGATTTCTACAACGACTAATTAGTTTACAGTTTGGCAGTGGATTACAATGAAAAATATATGCATTAACAAAAAACCCAAATAAGCCAAACTCACAGTTACCATGTCAATCCTGACTCACAGCAGCTCTATAGGACAGGGCAGAACTGCCCTGTGGGTTTCTGAGGCTGTGCTACTTTACGGAAGCAGAAACCCTCATCTTTCTCCCATATAAAAACAAACAGCCGGGGTATACATCTCTATATCATGATGTATTTCTAAGCATATCTCAAAATTGTTCTTCCTCACACGCAAAATTAATAAGGCATCATAACTAAAAACTTGATTCACTACCCAACAGAAAATCTTTGTTTTAAATGTGCTTGACACAATGGGTGCATCGTGATGAGTTGTACGAGCCCCCAACAAAATGATTTAAAAGAAAATCTTTGTTCTATAAAATTCTCCTTACCAAAGCAGAAATAAACATTTTGACACAAAATAGAAGGCCGATATGGAATGAAGAGGGTGCTATTGATTTGCCAACTTTTATGGACTGACTTGCATCACCTAAAACTATGTGTTGAAAAGCCTAACCTCTATAGCAGTAGTTGAGGAGCCCCGGTGGCATCGTGGGTTACAGGTTGGGCTGTGAACTACAAGGTCAGTAGTTCAAAACCACCAGCCCCTCCACGGAAGAGAGATGGGGCTTTCTACTCCCATAAAGAGTTACAGCATCATAATCCCCTAGCAACAGCTCTATCTTGCCCTGGAGGGCCGTTATGAGTTTGGGAGTGAGGGAGAAGGATCATTCCAGAAACCCAAGGGTGACTACTGCTATATACTATATTTTATACTATACCATAAAATGATTAAACACAAGCTTGCAAGCAGATATAGGAAAAGAAAGATGCCAAGACACATGAAGGTCATCCAGCAACAGGCACTTAAAGAGATAAGAACCTTCTCATGGAGCCATCACCCTGAATTTAGACTTCTAACCTCTTACACTCTGAGAAAATAATTTTTTATTCATGGAAGCCACCCACTGTTATTATAAAAAACACCCACTGTGACGGGGCTGAATCCAACTCACAGAGCCCCTATATAGATAAGGTTTCCAAGACTAACTATTTATGGTAGTAGACAGTCTGGTCTTTCAGTGAGTGGCTGGTAGGTTTGAACTGCTGAACTTGCAGTGCAAAGGTCCATAGCTTAACCCGCAATACTAAATAACTAAAACAGTTATCATACTGTAGTCCATTCCAATATGCAGTCCAGTACACGGTCCTTTTTTCAACTCTCCATCTGAGGCGAGGCAGTGGCCCTGCCGCTGTGGAAGACACAGCAGCGAAGCCAACCCAAGTGGTTTGAACCCCTCCTCAGCCACTGGTGAGTGATGAGACCTTGGGCAAGCTACTCATTTGTAAAGCTGGCGATACCTAGTCTACTTGTGAGTATAAAGCTAATGGGTACGTGTAGTGTTGACACCAGGGTCTGGCTCAGATGAACACGCGGGCTTCACAAAGTTCATGGACGAATGCCATCATCTTCTCGTTCTATGTTGCTGTGGGCTCGGTGCAGTCTCCTGAGATTTAATAAAGGCTCACCTTTCCCTGGTGGCTTCCATGGTCGGACTCAGGAGATCTACATCGAGCGTGATTAAGGTTGCTCAGTATTTCACAATGACAAGCAGGGTGGGAGAAGAGCCAGGTACAGGGACCCTCTGCCAGGAGCTAGGAAACGGCACCATCACATAACACTAACGGCCCACGTCTTCCCCTGTCCACTGCCCGGGGCCAGGCTCACGTTCAGAGGGAGCACACCTTTGAGGGTTGGGTGGATGATGCATGTTACCACTGACACTGAAGCACGCAAGGCCGTGAAGGGCACAGTTGAGCTTTTCTCTGCCTGCAGTTCTCACAAGTAAAATGAGAACGTTCTTCAGAATTGAGGTACAGATTAATCAGTTAATGGTTCCCCCAAAGCTTTGAAGAATCTGTCTAGTGCCAAGTATTATGTTAATGACTCTGTGATTATGATAGAAAACATGCCAACCGTCTGCCCCCATCCCCCCTCCAGCATCAGTTAATTGCAGAGCCGTGGCTAGGTCTGAGTCAGCGCTGGCATCAATCAACTCTCATTTTCCGGGACTCTCTTCAGCAGGTAATTTCCTTTTCCAGTGGCTATTTTCAAAAACCAACACCACACATGGGGGGAAAACTGACCTCCTGTCATAGTTAGGGTTTGGCAACTCTCTGTGGCTCGGGAAAAAGATGGAAAGAAAGAACATGTGTCCGATTATGGAAGGCTTTCTGCGGGGAATGAAGAGCGTACAGGCTCCTGTCACACAGCAGAGCAGAGGCTCCCAAACCTGCACGGCCTAGCGCCGCCTTTTCAGGAAGAAGGTTACCCAATAGCCCCTTTGTAGTTCAGGCCTTTGACACATCATCCGGTGTCTGGGTTTGTAGCACCCCTGGATCATTCTAGCACCCCCCCAGGCAACACTGAAACAGAGGATGAAGACTTTCATCACTACTGCCCCAAGGCTCCAGGAAGACAGCACACACAACAACCACAGCAAAAGGGAGGGTCCTCAAGAGCCAATGGATTAAGAGTGAGCGGTAGAATGCCAACCATCAAGAATGAATACAGAAACCTCCTTCCAGGTTAGTTTTTTTCAAGCACCTGTTTAACCCTAGCATTCCTGCTCACCTGTTCCGAGGTAAAGTCCGGAGCTTATGGTCTATCCCTCCGGTGCCTGTATACTTGTTCTGACCACCGTGAAAGCCGTAATTCCTGCTCTCGCCGACAAACAGCGATTCCGCCACCTCCTGGCTGGACCCTTCATCACTGGGGAAGCTCCCATCACTGTTAAAACAAGCACAGTCATGACCCACCGTTCTGCCTCTCAGCAACTCAAGTTCCCCCTCCTGCGAAGCCAAGGGATCTCTACAAAGAGGGAAAGGCTTCAAAAGAAGCCAGTCGCTTTTTCTGACACACAATGGCACATCGTTTGTAATTGTTTCTAAACAGTGACAATACTACATAAATGAATGAATGTGAATTTTGCATACATCAGTTTCATTTCATTTCATTGAGGAGCAACAACTGAATTGCACTGGTCCCAAGCCACAATTTTGCAAATGGGGAGCAGAGACTTGCCCAAGTGCAAGAATTAAATGACAAACCTGTTTGAAAGCAAAGTCATTCGACGAAAACTGTAACCTGCACACTTTAATGCTTCAAGACGGCTGCTAAAACAGAGCGAGCCGCTTCTTAGAGACTCCAAATATTTACCCTTTGTTCTTTAAGCCCCATTTTTAAGCGTGTAAGAGTTGGGTTTCTACCAGCTACTCCAAGGGAGACAGACTAGGTTCCCTGCTCCTGTGCAGACTTTCTATACAGGGTCCCCATGAGTCAAACGGACTCAAGGCAAGTTAGTCTGCTTTGGGGTTTATAAGCCCTGATGCTACATGGGCTTCGCTTTGGACTGCTCACCACAAAACCAGCTGTTCGAACCCACAAACAGCTCCTTGGAAGAAACACGAGGCTATCTGCTCCCACAAAAATCTACAGCCTCAGAAACCCAAGGGAGCAAGCTTAGGCTCTCCTTTCTCTCTTCACGTAGTGGCTACTCCTTGGGCTGCAAGGCGCAAGGTCAGCAGTTTGAAACAACCTCTCGGAGGGACGAGACAAGGCTTTCTACTCCCATAGAGGTACAGTCTTGGAAACTCACACTGGGGCAGTCCTACCCTGCCCTGGAGGGTCCCTGTGAGTCGGCATCGACTCAATGGCAGTTTGTTTGTTTATTAAAGGATCAATATAAATCAGAATCCCCTGGATGGCAGTGGGTTTAGAAGCTCTGGATAAATCTAAGTATTTTCTTCTAAAGGGAAAACAAAAACAAAATAACAACAGGCCAATCCTTCCGTGAAATTCCAGCTATATAAGTTTCTACTCAGGTATGGATTAAATTATCGGTAAAACTATTTTGGGGCCCTCTAGTGGCATTGGGAAGAAGATAGACGTTTTTAGAAAATGAATAGGTACATAACCTTTCTGTGTATAATCTGGAAAACCAAGTGCAATTCTACCCTGGATCTCTAAGACGGTCAAATAATAGTTTTTAAACAATTACAAACCTGGCAAAAGTCAGGCCTATTCCATTATCTGCAAATCTGTAAGAAAAAGGAGAATGAAGGAATATTTTTAAACTCACCAACCCATGTAAAAATATTTACACAGCCTCATAGCCAGGGATCCCAATAAACACAAATAGTTTCACCCCTATAAGAGGAGGGCAGACTCCCCATTCAGGGTACCTGCCTCAGGCCCAAGGTTTTGCAATGACTAGAGTGTGATTATGGGTAACCTCTATGTCCCTGGCATATAGAAGCAATAATTTTAATTATTTTATTTTTAAAAAAGTCAAGATCAGGCTCTTGTCTCCAAGCTTTTCAACACCTACACCCAAACTATGCTACAGATCTCATCCGACATAAATGTTGAGATGATAAAAATCACTGGCAATGATGAAATGTCAAATGTCAGAGCCAGACAAAATATTTTTCTAGGGCCTTGAGCACCAAATTTTAGCTCAAATGGTATCAGGCCTCTGCTAAAAATCATATCAATATGGGGGAAACGAGGTGCTGACTACCTCTGTCGTGTTAAGACAGAAGTCAATAGGTTTCAGAAGGTGAAAACTGAACAACTTTTGTTAGGAACGGCCTGGAAGAACATCAGAAACACTTTCAGGAGTTTCCAAGGAGGAAAAAAATACTCAGGTAGTTCCAAAACTTTATTTAGTCTCCGACGTGTTTGTTATGGCAAGTTAAAAAGCCCCAGTTTCTGCACCAGAAACGTTCAGGTCCAACCAAAGCACTTGAATGAGACAGCTCCAAACACGAGCAGGCTGTCTACTGGCACATGCTTCCCTGTTGCCCGTCCTGTCTGTTAAGACCGCTTCTATGATCCAGAACCACCACTGAGCTTACAAGCTACTTTTCTTGTCCTGAGAAATGAGAACACAAGCCATCCGATGACGATGCCGCAGAGTCGTGAGGCTCTCCTGACTCCGGTCTGACTCAAGGCCACCCCGGTGGTCAAGAGAACCAGTCAGGGTGCGATGTAACAACGATGAGAAATACAACATTCGTCTAGTTCCTAAATGTTTCCTCCCAGCTCCCACTACCATGACTCGAATTCGATCTTGCAAGTCTGGCTAGACCAGAGGAGGTACACTGGTACAGATAGGAACTGAAAATACAGGGAATCCAGGATGGATGAGCCCTATAGGACCAGTGGTGTGAGTCGCAAAACAGGGAGGGTAAAGGGAGAATGGGTAGGAAAGAGGGAACCGATTACATGGAACTGTGTGTGACCTCCTCCCTGGGGGACAGACAACCGAAAAGTGGATGAAGGGAGACGTCGGACTGGGCAAGATATGACAAAATACCCATTTATAAACTATCAAGGGCTCATGCGGGAGGGGGGAGCAGGGAGGGAGGGGAAAAATGAGGACCTAATGTCGGGGGTTTAAGTGGAGAGAAAATGTTTTGAGAAACGATGTACAAATGCGCTTTACACAATTGATGTGTGTATGGATTGGGATAACAGTTGTATGAGCCCCTAATAAAATGTTGGAAAAAAAAAAAGAATGCTGCCCAGTACCGCGGTGCCGGGCATTGGATACCCACGCTGAGTTCTGAATGACAATGTCGCCGCCGCGGACCCACGCGCCGTTGTCGTTATTTTTAAACGCAATGAGTCTGTCGATGAGCGCGGCCACGCGCGGCTTGTCAGGGTCTGCGTCTTCGTGAGGCCGAAACCTGGGGGTTGGAAAGGACAGCAGGGAGGGGCTTTTTAAAGAGGCAAGACAAATTAGCTATTCAAAACCCAGCACGCCAATGCCAAGAATTAAATATGACCAAAAGCGAATGCACAATAAATGATAACAATCATCCTGTGAGCCAACTGAATCTTGTGTGATTTACCTATCCAAAGGACAAAAATTACAACTACGCAAATGAATCCGGAGAACTGCCTTCCTAATCTGCTGTTGTTGTTTTTTTAATGACCTTTTGTCATATGACATGGGCACACTGCACGACATTCTAAATGCTAAAACCATTTTTTAAAACGAGCTCAGGTCAGAAAATGGGGCCTATTTTCACAAATACTTAAGCATCATGATACTGCCATAAACATGCTGAATAAATTAACCACATACTTTAGCATGCATGTATGTGTTCTGGGACATTATTTGAGTTGTATGCTAGGGAACTTTCTAAGAGTCAGACAAAAATCTGGGTTGTTCTCTCAAAAATGTCTAAATTTGAAATAGATTCCTTTTACCTGATTTGTTCAGTATAAAGACTCTCCAAAAGAAGACTACATTTTACCTTTCCTTTGTCTTCCTTTGGAAACCCTTAACAAGGACTTGACCATAAAGGTCAAAAACATTCATGTAAAAAATCGCCACCTGACAGACCAGTGTCCAAATCCTAAACACCCAGATTTCAGAAAACCACAGATGGTAGAGGTAGCTCAACATCCATTTACAGGGTAACTACAAGGGATTCAGCGTCCAGGGAATCCCCAGTGCACATTGGCTAGAAACGGTAATAGCCCCCAGATCCGAGGGTGAGCCTTGTAAAGGGGAGATTAGGCAGAATGTAACATTTTGCAATTTGATCTCTTTATGGACCCAAAGTGAATTTATTCTAAACTTTTTCATATTCTCTGCTTTCTGTTAGATTGAGGTCTCGATCCATTGTGTGTGGCCATTGTTGATGGATCCTTGCTTGGTATCTGTCCTAGTCTTGTACCATATAGGGAAATTGCAATTGAAGCAAATATAAAGATAGTCACCGGAGAGGGATCGCCTATGGTGATGGAGAGGGGAGGGAGGGTTGGAGAGGGACGGGGAATAGGGACCGACATCAATGTATGAACGAAGGTGGGAAAGTTCCGATGTTGATGATAGCCCGGCCAGTCGTGATGATTAAACCATTGAATCGTATATGTATTTATAGTTCAATATAAAAAGAAAAAAACTGCCCTCCTTAACAACTGAAGTAACCCTGTAACAGACAATCGAACTCACTGCTACCAAGCCAATTCTGACTCATAGTGACCCTACAGACCAGGAGCAAACTGTCCCTTGGGGCTCCCGGAATTATAACTCTTGACAGTAGAAAGCCTTCTCCTGTCCCTTGGTGGTTTTTCGAATGGCTGACCTTGCAGTTAGCAGCCCAATGTATAATCAATAGACCACCAGGAAGATCACCTTTAAAATTTTTTCTTTCCTAAAAAGTCATTTCTATCTTAGTCTACAGAGCTGGGGGGAAACGCTAGCTAGTTTTCTTTTTTTTTAATTAATCATTTTATTGGGGGGGGGGGCGCTTACAAATCTTCTGATCATCCATCATTCAACTGTATTAAGCACGTGTTGACATCAACATTTCCAACACTCTACTTGAGCCCTTGGTACCAGCTCCTCTTTTTGCCCCTCCTTCCTCCACCCTCCTCCCATCCTTGTGACTCCTTGATCAATTAATTATGTATTACTGTGGTTATTTTGTGTCTTACACTGTCCGTTGTCTCCCTTAACCCACATTTCTGTTATTCGTCCCCCTGGGAGTAGAATTGGAAAAACCCAATTCATCAGGAGATGTGCTATCACAGCATGAAGATATACTATCTGCAAAAATGCTACCACCACAGTGCACGGGCTATACCAGGAGCCCGCTATACCGTGCCTGCTGGGAGAAGAGGCAGGGTGACGATACAGCACAGCGGACAGCACATGCTAAAGTCTCTGCAGGAGTGCCCTGGGCATGCGCAAGGAATAAGACTGCAAGTTGAAGAGTAACAAGGAAGTAACAGTACCGATGTGGTTCGGAATTCTAAATGCTGTCAGGCATGGAATCCAGAAAGTAACAGGAGCTAATTCACTAGGGTTTTTAAATTTTCTTTTGTTTTTAAACAGATCACTGACTGTCACTTGTAGATGAGATTGTCAGAAACTACTATCTGGAGTTCCTATGTTTCAGGCAAAGGAGTGGTGATAAGAACATTCCATCCACCCTTAGACCACATGTATCACCCAGACCCTGACCCCTCACTAGTTCTGACCCAAGAGATAAAGTCTGAATCTAAGCCCTTGCCCGGTTTTATAACACTGTAGCCACTGCCAAACTGGAAGAGTTTTGGACAGGACTCTATACAACGTCTTTTTTTAAAAAGCACATAGAAACGGGCCACTAGAGCAACGTCTGATCCGTGGTGGTAGCCCCCTCCTCGTCTTTGGACTTCTTTATAAACCCCCTGCTGGCTACTTGCTTGGTTTTTGGATCCGCTGCAAGGGCAGTCCCCGAGTTACAAACAACATCCATTCATTCCTCTGAGCGTCTTTAAGGCAAATCTTTCCAAATAAGGACAAACGGGTGCATAGGACTATTATTTTGTTTTACTCCGGTGCTAGAAAAGTCCCCAAGTCTTTTCCATGATTAAAAATTACATGCAGCTAGTGACGGTGATCATAATAAAGGAATTGTTGCAAGTATCGGTTGGTTCAGGTATGTCAACATGAGAGCACATTTACATTGCGTTAAAGGGCATGGCTCAGAAGCTGGACATTGGTAGTGTGGGACCGAGTGACCTCCGTGCTGCGTATCATTCACTTTCCCAGCTTCCTGTGGTCATCTATGGGGTTACAACACACTGCCCAACTCTCCCTGACTTTTTCTCTGCTCTTACTGTACTAGTCAGGTCTGATGTCATTTCCCTCTTTTAGACAGAATTTCCCCATCTAAACCCAAGAGCTTTGGGAGCGGAGAAATCCCTGTCTTTGGAAGCCTCTGTAATTGCACGTCTTGAAAACAAAGGGAAAGACTCATTTGCTTAGCTATGAGTCACCCTCCCCTCTGATGAACAGACTGAGTATTTTCTGGATAGTCCATGAGCCTGATGTTTGATTCATGGCTGGGTTGATTACTCAATTAATTGGGAGTTGTACCCTTCTACTCATGCCTGGGCTTTCTCATGTCTGGCACAGTTCATACATTAGATTATATAAAATGACATGCATTAGCCAGCTGGCTGCCAAATTGGGACTCTCCTGGTAAAATTGGTTCTTCTCAATAACAGCTTCCAAGTGAGATCTGATTTCATGTCAATATGTATGCATTTATAAACTAATAACACTCTTAATGGGAAGCAGAAGAAAAGTGAAATATTATCCTAATGTCATGTATACATAACATGGTTGGGGGGAATAAAAACATTTTTAAGCCATTATGATAAACTTTCTCTGCTTAAATTTGTCAACTCTAATTAGAATGACAATTTGTTTTAAAATCTATTTATTCGTTCATCCTTTTTTTTTTAATGCCCTGTTTCTTGGCTGCACAAGAGCTATCAGATCATTGCTTTAAAATATTTCGGAGCTCAAGCTAGCCTCTTAGTAATCCTGACAAATCATGTCATTAAGGACAATTTGCCAGTATTTTCTTGACCTCAGGTCTTATTATGTCACAAGAGTCCTGCCTCACCCTTCAGTAGACTCACTGACCTACAAAATGCTTCCTAATTTATCCTTCTGTGAACAGCTGGGTCTGATGTTCTTTTTTTTCAAGGACAAGCAGTAGAGTCTATTAAATCTAGCACCCTTTGAACTCCAGAGGCTGGACCATCAACTTTGATTGTAGAGAAGCAGCACATCCACTGAACTTGACATTCAGTTTGCCATCTCATTCCCACGTGAAACAATTTATGTGTTTTGGCTCTTGTAATGCAAGTGGGAGTGGCGTTGCTCTGCTGATGCAGATGCCAACAGTGTGTGGTGGCAAAGGCAAGTAGCAGAACTGTGGTGTGACCTGATGTGACTCTGAGACTACAAATCACGGAACCCGAACCTGCTTGATCATCAAGTGGGGGGCCCTTCGCTTGAAACTGATTTTAGGCAGGGTCCCACAGTGACCACTAAGAACCCATTCTCTGTGTTCTGGCCTTCAGGGATTAAGCTAAAACAGGATCTTAGTTTTAACTTGTTCTTCAATGAGCCACTTCCTATTTTAGGCCAATGTAGGCTCCTTTCCCAGAGATCTCTCCTCTTATTCTAGGTCTTTCTACGTCTCCCTCTAACACTGGTTTGCAGCTGTGGTAAAGGAGGCAAACATCAACTCCGCTTTGGCCTTTCAGGAAGATAAAAGCCCAGGTATAGATCCTTGAACAGCAGAGTAAATATGTTTACAAAAATGGTCCTAAACACGTTTGCATCATCATTCCAAATGTATGCGGGGGCTTCCAAAAGTTCCCAGGGAAATTCCATTCTCTTCCCGTTCCTTTTCCATGACCTTGTAGAAGCCCCTAGGATTACCTTCCCATCCCTCCACCCCAAAGACAGCAGTTTTGCTTTGGGCGAGATATGCCTTGAATGTGATTGCAAAGAACAAAGCCTACCTGGCACTGTTATCCAATGAGAGATACTCTCTTGGGTCCGCAGCATTAGCGTTGGTTGTTTTGACACCCTTGTCAATAAATAAGCCAGCCTGAAAAACATCATCATGGACTGAGATGAACAAGAATTTCAATTTTACATCTACATATATAAAGATTCTAGAGAACAACTCTTAGCTAATTGCTTCCACCCAAAAGGGGTGATATGAGCAAACAGCAAAGTAGAGATAGGGTGAAAATGGCTACCTTCCTGCACGTGTGTTATCATTGTCCTTACTCGGTCACTCAATACAGATTTGTTCACCAAAGCATGACTCACACTTTCAATAACCTTGAGCATAGGTGAAGAGATGTAACCAAATAAATAATTACAAGCCGGTATGCTAAAAACACTACATGCTGCATTGGAAGCATATTAAAGGCATCTAAATGAGACCTTTCCATTTTCTTTCTTTATTATTTTATTTTATTTGCAGAGCAGGGGAGAACGATTTATTTGCAGAGCAGGGGAGAATGATTGAGGGAACCTCTCCTGAAAGCAGTAACCACTTCAAGCCAAGACCTGCAGGATGAAGAGGAATTAACCACACAACCGAATGGATTGGAGACGCAGGCATGTCGGCAGAACGGAAGAACCCAGAGAAAAAGACTGAGCGAATCATTTATACCAACGTCTGGAGGGGAGAGAGCGCGGCACAGCTGCACTAAGCACATCTTAGCTAGAGCAAGCAGAGCAGGTGGAGGGAGGGAGGGTAAGAAGCAAAGCTAAGAAGGCAGGAATGCCAGCTCATATAGAACCAATGCGCTGCAAGGCAGGGCAATGGGGTCTTTAGCACAATGGAATCAACTGCATTTTCAAAGAAAAGACTATAGCTGCCACAGGAGACGGATGGTAGAAAGGGGCGATAATTGCAGAACAAGATCAGGCAGTCATCCAGTAGAGGAAGAGAGGTGGCCTGGAATTGGGGCAGCAACAACAGAGTGAGGTGTATAGCATGGGACGTCTTTACCAGGCATTGTTACCTTTTAGTAATGAATAAAATCTCCCAAGGTGACGGAAAGGGACCAATCAAGGCTCATATATTTCTTATATATTTATGCAACCAAAACACAGGAGTCAGTGTGAGGGTAAACATAAGGGTTTTCCTTCTGAAACTATTTAGGTATATGCCTATGTGCGATTGGGTTACAATGTCCTGGATGGCTAAGACATTTACGGCAAGGTCAGTAGTTCGAAAGCAGCAGGCGCCCCACTGATGAAAGAGGAGAGTATCTACTCCCATAAAGAGTTACAGTCTCGGAGACCCAAGAGCAGCTCTAGCCTGTCCTATAGGTTTGTTATGAGTTGGAATTGATTCAATGAGTTTGAACCTGAGCTTCAAATGCTGCTGTGTAGACAGTGGCATGAACTTGGCCAACCTGGGCTAAGGACAGCTTCAGGGGTCATCAGCAACTGAAGCCCTAAGGTCTGGGCATGCAGTGTGTGTGTGTGTGTGTGTGTATACGGTAATACTGGGGATTATGAACATGGAGGGGGGGAAAAGTGGTTAGGAAGACTCCAATCAACGCCAATAAGAGACGAGCTAGGTTGAGGGGATTGTGATTGAACAGAGGGGAAAAGAGAATTCGAAATACAGCAACAGGCACATTTGAAGGAAGCTGCAGCGGGGGAAGCATGACAGCGTTCTGTCAGTCTCCCAACAGCATGCGACGTCCGTGTGTGTGTCCGCCCTTACGGTTGGGTACTGCCGATCTGGCTCTGACGCAGAGTGACCCTATTTACAACAGAATGAAATGCTGCCCAGCCCCGGCCTGCACCATGCTTCACATCTGCCCTGTGTTTGAACCGATGGTTTCAGCCACTACGCCAATCCATCTCCTTGACAGTCTTCTCTTGGATGTCCTTCTCCAGGGACGGGTTCTTGCTGATGTGTGTCCACACACATTTTAAAAAATTAATTTAAAATTCCGGTTGAACCATGTGGTTCCTGTTTTGTTTTCTTACCTAATCACCAGACACTCCGAGTTATTTCACACTCTTATTTGGCTTCTATTCGCATATTTGGCTGACCAGAAACCAGCTGCAACTTTCGAGAATAAAATGGAATACTTGGAGCAAATGATTTAGAAGTCTTTGAGCCACTGTGCAACTCATGTGTCCCAAATGTGCCGTGTGTGCGTGAGTGTGTGTGTGTGTGTGTGTGTGTGTGTGTGTTTACATGTGCCCTACAGTGGCAGGTCTTTTCCTAGGTCTCAAAAGGAGAGGAAGCATCTATAACAATTACTAACATGTAGAAACCTACCTTAAAACTTGAATGGACTCGGTTGTTATAAAATATACCAAGCGGTGTAAGTTCTGGTTTTGCTGAGAACGGCAATCCGCTGGATTCTCCAGTAGGTTCCTTGTGGAACAAATACCATATTCCAGCATCCTGTAGGTGGAAGGCAAAATAATAAGAGGGCTCAGTTTACGAAGCCACGCTATGAATCAGCCTTATCAACGTGCTGTTTCGCGTCAGGCTTCATCTCTTGGGTGCTCAGCTTCAGTATCCCTACAGAAAGCAGTGTGCACATCTGGCTCGCTCAAAGCAGTGGTACCATGCACACTTTCCTTGTGAACAGGAAATTTCTTAAACGATTCAAGAAAATTGTCGGCCAATTATAAACTTTACTTTCAAAATAATAGTTCATCCATAATTAGTGTTATGCAGGCGCTAGAAAGATGAGACAGCACAGTCTTCGAGAATTTTTTGCTTCCTGTGTACCTCGAATCTGATCAACAGATGGACCGTGCCTATTAAACAACCCTCCTGCCACCATGCCGAGATCTCTAACTTCTTTCAAACTGTTGCAATGCCCTTCCAGTCCTGATTCAGATTGCTGCCATGACCACATGCGTGAATCAGGATTCTACTCAGTCTGGATTTCGCCTCTTCCGTCTCAGTGCTACTCACCTTACGAGAAGCGGCAAGAAAGTTTTAAAACGACTGACAACCAACTGAAGGATTGAAGATGGAAATACATAGTCTTAATTCCTCTGACAGCTTTCATTTTATTTTTTAATTTTAATTATTTTAAATTTAATTATAAACCCACTTTTTATTTTAG